CACACACTCTCACTCTCACACACTCACACGCACGACGCCGCCACAGCCGCGCGTGTCTGTGAGCCGGGGGGCAGCAGTGCTTCGCCGGGTAACACGTTCAGCTCCAGCCTGTCACTCCAGCGGCCAGCCAGACCGGATGAGCTGCTTACAGCTCGAGTCAATACGCGGAAAATCCTCCCCTCGCCCGCTCATCCTCGCAGAGCGAGCGAGAGACGGAGAGAGAGAGGGAGGGAGGGAGAGAGAGAGGGTACAGACAGGGAGGGGGCGAGGAAGGTGGAATCATCGGAAAATCCAAGAAAGGCGAGTCGGTCACATATGAATGTATTTATTTTTTATTTGTAATCTCTATTCGAAAGCCTTGTATTTCCCGGCCGTTAATTGCTCCCTCTATCTATTCCGCTATATCTGTATCATGCTCCTGTAACCAGCCGCTATTCCGGCTCCGGCGATCCTGAGAATATAATAACCGGGGGAAAAAAGAGAGGAGAGAGAATAGCGAACTATGCACAGAGGATGATTTCCACAAGGAGAACTCCGGAGAAAAGTAAATACCCCCTGCACACCTTGGTGTGGTACAACAGGCATCGCCAGCTGGAGAAGGAGCTGACCGCGGAGGAGCAGGTAAGGCGCAGCTCGGCGCCCCAGTCCGCGGGGCTGGGGCGGTGTAGCCGGGGGGCCGCCCAGGCTGTGGGGAAGACAGCGCGAAAAGCGGTGGCGAACGATTTCGGGATCGAGGGAGTCTGGTCTGATAGAGCGGCATCGTCTGGCGTTTCATCGAGAGGGGCGGCACGGCAGCAGACACGATGTCGCTTGCCGGCTGGGGTCTCCTGTCACTATCGCCGCACGCAGCCGCGATGCCGCCGGTGCAGAAATGCAACTGAGCGTCGCCAAGGCTGTCCGAGCGGGGCTCGGGGCTCGGAGGCGGGGGACCGGCAGACCGGTAACGGCTTCGAATTGCATCGGGAGCCTCCGCGCTCGCAACCCCGAAAAACACAACGGGCTGCCATCGCCCGTCCGCTGCCTGCCTTCTCCGCGGCGCGGGTCCGAGAGAAGTTGGCGACGGTCCTGCGGGTTTCAGCGGGTTGAGCGCGCGTGGTGAAGCGGGGGCCGCGGCAGCTCGCGAGCCGCGCGAGGCAGTGCGGTGCAGCCCGGCAGGTGGGCGAGGGGCAGCGCGTGGACGGGCGAGCCGGCACCTCGCGGCACGAGCCGTGTGGCAGGCTGGGGCTGTGGCAGGTGGGTTTAGTCATTTCATCTGGGTAGTGAGAGTGTGCCTGCTTCTGTGCACGGAGTGAAGTCTCATTATATATATTGCAGTACAGCTCACTGGAAGAAACGTGCGCCTCATTTATTTAACTAAATGTAATGTAGTACTTAGCATAACACCAAAAAACACAACCGAAGCCTGACATCTCGGCGTTGGGGA